GTAGAAATTAGTTTTAAAATGAATCTATATATCTATATATAGATATAAAGATCTGCTATTCCTGAAAACATGAATTCCAAAGCTTATGCTGACCACATATTTTGCCAGACTGGTTCCAGCGCATGAAGTCTGCTGTATCACAGACATAACTCTAGCTCTACACAAAGCACTGTTTACAAATCCAGAGCCAACTCCAAGAACACACACTCCTCCTCTTTCCTCCCACATCAACAACCCAGATTTTCCTCTCCCCTTCCCACCTCGCTTGCATGCCTTTAATGTATTTTAGAGTACAATCCTCCATGCCCAACTCAGGAGAAAGTTCAACAGGACTTCGTACTAAATTAAGTGGGTGCAGGATTGCAACCTCAGACATGCACAACCAGCCTAGCATTTAATATGCATTATTCTGACTACCCTGATACCTATGACTACCTGGAGTAAGTCCAAGTTTCTTCTAAAGAGCTACCAGCTCCACCTCATACGGTGTGGAGCAATTGCCATCGCTTTCAACACAACAGAAAAGAGGACTACACAACCACATGCCATAGCCAGCAGTTCTCAATCAGAACCAGATATACTTCCATTAGCTCTGCCAAAATCCACAGGACTTAAAGTCTGTCCTGATTAAGAGCAGGAATAATGCAGTTTGACACCATTTTAAGAGCTGTAGCTCCAACCTATAAAATTCTGGAATTTGTAGTTTTACAAGTTTGTAGCTTTCTCTGCCAAAGAGTATTGGTGCCTCACCATACTACCAATCTCAGGATTCTGGAAGTTGGAGCCGCGGCAGTTAAAGTGGTCTCAAACTGCATTATTTCTACAATATGGACACAACCTAAACTAAGTCCCATTTGTTTAAGTGAGTTTGCTCTAAGTTGGTGAAATCTAGATCCAGCCCAGGTAGGTGTTTGGTTCTGAAACAGAGCATTTCCCCCTTGCTCCATCTCTAGATCTGGGATGCATGCAGAAAATGCTTCCGGTAGATCCATTTGCTAGCTTCTGGTGTTATTGGGAGAAACTCACAGTTCCACTTCTTAGTAAGGTTCACTTAGGCAAGTTCTGAGATCTTGCCAAGGAAGGCAATTAATTTTGCAGGTAGCGATCAAAGATCACAGAAATACCTTATGAATAAGAACTGCAGGTTCTAATCAGAGTCAATTTGTTATTCCAAAGCAAACAAGTTAGTTTAATACTCCGTGAAAAACTTGAATCAAGTCTTCAACTACGTCACCTCTTGTCATCTGATCACACTGGATTCTTATGGGAAGAAACAGGTCATCTAGGGCACTGTGTTACTCATTTTAATTAGGAATTCATTTGCATTTAATTATATTTATATGTTAAATTATATTTATAGTTATAGGGTGGAAACCTACTTTGTATCTATTAAAATGTGGTATAGTAGTTTGAGTGCTGGACTACGCTCAAGTCCCATTATATACAATCCAGTAGTAAAACGGTGGAAGCCAATGTGGTTTTATGGCTTGAGCATTGGACTATGATTCTGGAGACTAGGGTTTAAATCCTTGGTAATCCATTGGGTTACCCTGGGCAAGTCACACTATCTCAGCTTCAGAGGAAAGCAATGGCAAACCACTTCTGAATAAATTTTGCAGAGAAACCCCCATGAGTCAACATAAATCAGAAAAGACTCAAAGGCACACAACATCGACTATAAAAAATAAATAAGAATATTTTTCTTAACGCCATGAAAGTTGTACACACAAAAAAGGAATTATCCCTGCTGCTTCAAGAATTCATTTTATGAAACAAATTTATGAACTCCCATGTCATCTTTGCAGAGGGGATGTGCTAGTCTTCCCTGTATTGTTCCAGCTGGGGCAAATCCGGTGCCAAACTTAAAAGTCACACAAAGGATGGGAAATAAGTCATCAGAATTAAATTCTCAGATGACAAATTTTATTTTCAGATCTCTCTTCAGCTAAAAGATCTATTATCCATTTGACTTTCAATTTTACTTTTCAACTTGCTCACTTGTTCAGAATTTCATCAATATTTTCCAGATATTTTTATTATCTGTGCACTCAGTGGCATCACTAATTTATCCCAGCTTACGACATACTTTTCTTCAACACTCGCACATACACATGCACAAGAATTTTTAACAAAAAGTATCCCAAAAATGCAACTTTTCCCCCAAGTACAGGTGTGGCTTCTCAATACACAACTTCCTATAAGTTTTTAAGAACAAACAAGATCTGATTGAAGTGTGAGATGCCAATATGTTGTCATATAGGGGTAGAATTTTGTGGCCCTCCCTATGTTATACAACTGCAACTCCCAGCATCCCTAGCCAATATAGTGAGAAATGCTGAGAAATGAAGCCTAACAATAGCCAGAGGGCCATACAACTCCCAATTCACCAATGGTGATAACTGTGTGGCCTTCCAGATCTGACTGGACTGCAGTTCCCAGCAGTCTTCATAACTGGATAAGAGACTGTGATTTTGGAGATCTGGGTTCAAGTTCACACTGAACGCTGGGTGACTATGAGCCAATCATTCTCTCTCAGCTTGACCAATCTTACAGAGTTCTTCTGGTGAGAATAAGGGGAAATGGTCCCTGAAAACTTCTGAAGAAAGATGCAATATAAACGTAATAAATAAATAAATAAAGCAACCCCCCATCCCAGTGCACCTTCAATATGGAAAACCCCCAGCATCACTCTTAGATAAAAACTGCAGACTTTCCTCTCTCAAACATTTGGACAAATCACAGGAAAAACTATAGATTGGAAAAATTAGGTTTGGATTACAGTGTTCCTTTGGGATCCATTGGGGTTTGGTTCCAGGGTCCCCATAGATACCAAAATCAATGGATGCTCAAGTCCCATTATAAACAATGGCAGAGTAAAATGGAGCAGCAAAATGAGACAGTGTGGTATAGTGGTTTGACCACTGGACTAGGATTCTAGAAACCAGGTTCAAATCCTTGCTTGGAAACTCACTGAGTGGCCTTGGGCAAGTCACATTTTCTCAGCCTCAGAGGAAAGCAAACCTCCTCTGAACATATATAACCAAGAAAAACCCATGAAAAGCTGACATGAGGTTACCTTAATTTGCAGATGACTTTTTCCCCAAAGAATTTTTTATTGAAATTTGCAAATGACTTGAATGCACACCACCACAACAACAAAACTATGAGCTGACTGAGGCTACAGCAGTCCTATAATGGGGGAGCAAACTTTCAAACAAAACTCACACAGCCAGACCACTGTATTCACAGATTTATCCATGAATTCAAGCATCCACGGCATGAAAATAATCAAAGTAAGTATAAATTCCAAATAGGAAACCTTGATTTTGCCATTTTATGTAAGGGACACCATTTTATCATGCCATTTTATATAATGGAACTTCAGCATCCATGGATTTTGGTTTCCAAAATCCCAAACCAAACCCCGGACGCAGTGTATCTATATGTCTAGATATACCTTTGAAGAAACCTGCCAAGAAAATCCCATGATAGGTTTGCCTTAGGGTTGTCGCCATAAGTCAGAAATGACTTCAAGTCACACAACAAAACACATACATACAGAAAGACGCAAACATGTTTTGAAAGCTCCTTGTGCACAAACGGTCTTCCCAAAGAACAGTGATCACTGTAATCAACCTGGAGCGATGTGCCTGTGGGTGGAAAAATTAAGTGGGAGAGGAGAGAATTATAAAACCCCAGCCAAGTGTGTTTACCGTCTCTTGCTGAACGTCAGCATCTACCCCACCACCAGCATTTTTCAAAGACAGCTGCATAAAAGCTTTCAGTGAGTTAATCAGCCAGTGATGGGCCAGCACTCTGCAATAAAGTAATAGCTTTCTCTGCACGCTGGGAGCTCTTGCACTGCTCTCAAGGGCCCAGTGATTCCAGAATTTCAATAATTGCCTAGGTTTACCTTAGTTTATCGCTTCTGCAGAGTGAAATTAAACTTGCCTTAAAGTTTAAGATCTAAAGCAAGTTGGTACCAAACACAACAGGGCCCCGGTCAGCAACTGGACGTATGAAGACGGGCAGTATTGTGCTAAATCCAACCTCCCCTCTCTCTAACATTTGGCTAGTATGCTAAAGTTTTAACCATTTATTTATTTATTTATGTGTGTGTGTGTATAAAGTGTATGTATGTGTGGGTATATATAAATATATGTGTTTGTATGGTTAAAACTTTAGCATACTAGCTAAATGTTGGAGAGAGGGGAGGCTGGATTTAGCACAATACTGCCCATCTTCATGAGTCCAGTTGCTGACCAGGCCCCCGTTGTGTTTGGTGTGTGTGTGTGTGTGTGTGCGCACGCACATGCACACACACACACAATTTTCTCTTCCAACCTAACAGGCAATCCAGAATAAGTTCTATAAACAATGATTCTGGTCCAAAGGCCTTCTTAGCACAACGGGATGCCATGCACTTTGCATGTAGAAAGCACCAGGTTCAATCTCTGGCATCTCCACTTAGGGCTGAGAAGAAACCCTGGCAATGAAGAGGACAGCCACCACGCGATATACTGCATTTATTTTGTTCCTATAATTCTTAATTTTATAGTACACAGCATCCACATCCCAAGGGACCCAAATTCAGCAATTGCTGCAATTCTTAAATAGTAGATGATTTCCAGAGGGTTTAATTACACAAACTTCCTAAAGACATATATTCTCCACTCCCATATGAGCCTAGCAAGTTTTGCCTGAAACGCAAGACTGCAGCGCCAAGACAGACTGAGAGTATCCAGCAGCTTTTTGCTTTGTATTTACCATACACAAGTTATATGTTTTTTTGTAAAAATTTACAAAATCTCAGTGCTTGGAACAGTGACTGTTCAGATTACAACACAGAGATTCCCAACCCCAGTATGATCAGTGACATTTGCTTTCCGATGGTTCAGTGTACACAAACTTTGCTTCATGTACAAATTCATTAAAAACACTGTGTATAAAATTACCTTCAGACTGTGTGTAGAAGGTGTATATATAAAACATGTATCAATTTGGGGTTTAGACTTGAGTCCCATCTCCAAGATGTCTCATTAAGTATATGCAAATATAGTGGGCCCTCCAAATTCACTGGGGTTTAGGGACTCGGGACCTCCATCAAAGTGGGAAAACTGCATATAAAAATCCCATTATTTTTTTAACCTGAGAGAACAGCGCTCTAAAAATCTTTAGGTCCTCCAGTGCAACTCTATGGTCAGCATCTGCTAGAAACTGGCCACAGAATTGTGCTGGAGGACCTACAAATTCCTAGAGAAATGTTTTCTCTAGGAGCCTGTAGATTCTTCCACACAATTCTATGGTCAACTTCTAGCAGAGTTGCGCTGGAGGACCTAGAAATTCCTAGAGAAAACATATTAATCATATCTGTTAATGATCAAATCCACAAAAGTCAAAGCTACAAAGGGCCAACTGTATTCCAAAATGCAACAAAATCCAAAATACTTCTAGTCCCAAGCATTTCGGGTAAGAGAGATTCAACCTGTACCTCTAGCTGAAGCCATACAAAAAGTTAAGATAGTCCAGCTATAGAATTACAACTGTATAAAACATGAATTTACAGACACAGATTACATACAGTACAGCACCGTAGTCCCTTCAAAGCTTGTATTCCCTCAGCCCAGGGAGATAACACAGCCCAGTTGGGAGCAGGTGGTGGTTTCTGCTGGAACTGGAAGCTCAGAGCTTGCAAAGAGATAGCAACTACTCACAGCAGATGGTTCCAGGAATCTCGCAACTGGTGAAGCAGAAAAGCTGACCCAGCAGACAGGCAGTTCCCTTCCTCTCACCTCTGCATGGTTCTTCAGCTCTTTCCACAGGAGGGATTTATAGTCCTAAACTCCTCCAGAGTCCACTGTGTATATTTTCCCATCCCTAAACTCTTCACTTGACTTCCGAGATCTAGTCCTGTTAGTCGGGAAAATCAGGATGTAAAGGAATCTTGTTGCACCTTTGAGAATAACTGAAATAAAGAAGTTGGCAGCATGAGCTTTTGTACTCAGGTCTGTAGGAGGATATATTTGGGACTACCTGAAAGGGAGATTTGATGTATAGTCAAGAGTAGTCCAGGGGAAAAAATACTTCAGATCCTGATGCATTGTGTTTTCAACTAGTTTGCAGGAGTGCTGTCATTTCTACTAACAATGTGAGTAGTTGTTGTTGCGTGCCTTCCAAGACGTTTCTGACTTATGGTGACCTATGTCATGGGTTTTTCATGACAAGATTTGTTCAGAGGAGGTTTGCCATTGCCTTCCCCTGAGGCTGAGAGAGTGTGATTTGCTCATGGCCATCCTGTAGGCTTCCAAGATTCAAACCCCGTCTCCAAGGTCACTATTTTGCACGAGCTTTTTCTTTTCTTTTCTTTTAGCATATGCTTTAATCAGGACTGATTTACTCAACCAGCCACCAGTAAATCCTACTAAAGTCAGTTGGTCCTCCAGATGAATAAAGTCTATTACTGCAGTCCCAAATATCTATTACTGCCTGAAAACAAAATCTGTCTGTATTCTGTAAATATCAACAGATGGAGTTGGATTATGTTTCAAAAGATCACCACAAACACGAGAAAGGATTTCTCCAAGATGCAATTGGGAAGATTTTATTATAATAATTTACACTTGAAGTGTTCAATTTCAGCCCAGCATCTATCTCTCACTCACAAATGCACACACATGCATGTGCACACACAAACACACAATACCTCTGCTCTTCCAGTATCACAACAAAGCCTATTGACTAGCATTGCCACAAAGGAAAGGGGGGAAAAATTGCCAAAACCAATATTGTGGTTTGTTGGGACACCAGAGTTCTCTGACAGAGAAGGCTAAATGTCTCACAAAACTACAATTCACAAATTCCAAAGGACTGAGCCATGGCAGCTAAAGCGGTGTCAGACTGGATTATTTCTGCAGTGCAAATGCATCCTAAAAAGGATCCTGCCTAAAACCGTGGCTGCCAGTCAGTCACCTTAGGATCACCTTAAGTTGGAAACGACTTGAAGGCACACAACAACAACAACAAATAATTTACTAAATAAATAAATAAATGAAACTTAGTTGGGTTTTACACTGGTGCAACAATCGCTATTGAATCCTTTTATTTCAAGGCCAGGGAAGGACTGGGAAGAGTGGTGAGGATCCATCAACAGAGCGATGGTTAAGAGTTGGCATGTGTCTCATGAGCACATCTTCTCTAACTCAGTCAGTTTTTTCTCATGTATAGTTTAGCTTTCTTTTGTAATACATCAAAAGCAAAATGGCCAGGGGCTTGGCATAATACAGGAACTCGAGATGCAACTGACAGCTGTCAGAAGAAAATCAGAACATAAGTCAAGCCAGTAACAAAACAGCGTTCTTGGAGGTATCAGATAATCTTAACTCACCTCCATCCCCAGGCTCTTGCGAGCGAGACAAGACTGAAACCTTCCCCAAATTCCAGAGAAGAGAGGACATATCATGCCTCTTTCCCAGCCCTCATATTTGCTTTAAAGCCTTGGGCATATTTGGGCTTTTGGGGCACAATTGCAGAACCATAACAAACCCAAATATACCCCAGTTGCAAATTTTAAACTGCAAGGGATTGGAGGAGGCTTTATTCTGTACCCCACAGATGCTCCACGAGGAGGCAATGGCTTGTTTTCTGGTCACCCACCGATGCCAAGATCCAAATTTAAAGTTGGAGAGAGGAGCAGATCTCCCCTTGACCTAGTACTATAGTTCAATATGATCACATGTTGAACAGTCAGCCCCCCCCCACTTTTTGACATCTGCGGATTTGATTATTCACAAATGTGATTAATATGTTCTTCCTGAAGTCTTCAAATGTGACTCTACTGGAAGTTGACCATAGAGTCATGCTGGAAGACCCAGAAATTCCTAGAGAAAACAGCTCTCTAGGCATCTGTAGGTCCTCCAATGTAATTCTATGGTCAAATATCACCTGATGTTGACCACAAAGTAATGCT